AACAAACAAACAAGTTCAAAAAATAAACAAAGTACTTTCGGCGGGTGCTGCCACCTAACACAATTAGGGACGGCTAGCGCAGATAGCCCTCGTGTATCTTTGCGCGAAATTCAAAACAAACAAACAAACAAGTTCAAAAAATAAACAAAGTACTTTCGGCGGGTGCTGCCACCTAACACAATTAGGGACGGCTAGCGCAGATAGCCCTCGTGTATCTTTGCGCGAAATTCAAAACAAACAAACAAACAATCACAGTGTGGATAAAGTGGCTATCTTGTGACCCATCCATACCGTGAAACACACAGTAGTAAATGGAATCTTCCCTATGTGTCAATTTTGTGTTCCACAGTGTAAATAAGCCACAGAATGGCACACTGTGACCCTGTCACAGCATGAAACACAAGCTAGTTTACTGTATGCCCAGATAATACTTTTGGCAAGTCTGGGACAAAACTGTCAATACCAAAATTGTTGTTCTTAGCATCACATGACACATCACAAATGTAACTTGAGAAATATACATCTAATGATTTTCTTTCAGAGTTATATATATATATTTTTTAAATCATATCAAGTTGACAGTTTAATTTGCCATGCAAAAACATGCCTTACATGTTTTCACATCTTTAGCCAAATTTTTGCTTCTGTCAGGCATGAAATGTATCCTAGAAGAGAACTCGGTTTTAAAATACTTAACAGTAGCAGTAAATATGGTAGAGTTTGTAACCAAATCACCTTCTACAAGTGGACAAATCATAATGGTTATGGTTGTATTTTTCACTATGATTTTAGCAACTACACAATGGAAACATTTTCGTAGAGTTTCCAACCCAGAGAAGAAAGGAGAAAGTCTTAAGCTACGTGGTAAATTATTTCTATAATGTTACATATTTAATCTACATGCTTTATAATTAGAGATTACCAATACACCGGTTTAAGTTGTTTTAAAGTAACTCTCTATGTTTTAAACACTTAGATAGATGTAAGAACAAGGAAGATGGTACTACCTTGGGCCTGACTTAATAGCAACGTATTTCAAGATTTCATAAAGTCTCAGTAATAAAAGAAGATTTATGATCCTGAGAGAAAGTCCGTAATAGCACAAAATATCCACGTACATTTATCATCCTAACATAGTACCCTACCATACAATTTGCGGGTCGTGGGTTCGAATCTCTATTGTCAAACACGTCACCCTTTCATCCGTGGAGACTATATAATGTGACAATCAATCCCACTATTCGCTGGGAAAAAGAGTAAGTAGCCTAAGCAACTTTGGGACTAAAAAACAACAACACCAAGTGTCACTGTTAGGCATTGGTTGCGAAATTACTACCGCTTTAAAACCGGTTTCAAAAAAAGCTATTAGCAAAACGTAATTGGCACTTACTTGAAAGAAAATAAAAATAAATTTGGAGAGGTATATTATAACTTATACCTAAAACGGAAAGTGAAGAAATTCAACAATTTTATGTAAACAACTTTCAGAACTACTAGGTAAACACTGTAAGAGACCAAGATTTTTTTCAAACATCTGATTTCCCCAGGGAAAATTCTTCTCTTTACATGGTATATGTCAACAAGAACTAATAAAAAATGAGAATAGAAATTATCGAGATATTATTATCAAAATTTTGAGACTATCGTGGCTGTTTCTGATTTTTAGTTGAAGCAAGTTTTGAGATACGTTAAGGTTAATTCAAAGTATGAGGACGAAGCAATATAATAATAATTACTATAACTAGTGAGAAAAGCAAACTAAAATACACACCTCTTTACAGTGTTAGTTTGAGCGACACACAATCCCGAGCACCAGCATGGCTTGACTCGCGATCTCAGAGTTGTGGGTTCGAATACCCGTCCCACCAAATATGCTCGCCCTTTCAGCCGTTATAATGTGACGGTTAATTCCACTTTTTTGTTAGTAAAAGGATTAGTCCAAGAATTGGCGGTGGGTGGTGATGACTAGCTGCCTTCCCTCTAGTCTTTCACTGCTAAATTAGGAACGGCTAGCGCAGATAGGCCTCGTGTAGCTTTGCGCAAAATTCAAATTAAACCACAATCCGGACTATTTTTTTAGGTTCAGTAACACAGTCAGGATTATAAGAAGAGACAAATGATAGTGTGTACATATCATGTAAGAGAAATCAACAGTGTCAATACAATGTGCTTCTTTATTTAAATCAAAGTGTGCACTTTTTCAGAGTGTTGCCATAGTAATTTCTCATGATACACCCTGTTTCCCTAGTGTTTCACAGTGTGCGTTCTTTGTGTGTGTTTTTTCCCTAAAGAAAACAAGCGACTGTTTTGTTATATATTAACGATTAAATTACTAATAGCAAGCCTGAATTAATTATAAGTCTCGCTTTTCAAGTAAAAAAAAATAATTTATTTTCTGACGGGTAATTAATTGAAAATGTTGTTCCCCCTGTTAGAAACAGCCCTGTGAACAGTTTTGTTTGTGTACCCAAATTAAACTTAACTTCTGCAGTCATGAAAAAATAATACGTTAAAAAGGATGTTTGTGTAGTTCCTTAGAGCACAGGCTTTCAGCTCATAGAATCAATAAAGAGGTAATCTCATTTGACACGCAAGGCAGGTGTGGCAGAATGAATTATTGAATGCGTGCCTGCTGTAGTAGCGAGTCATCATCATTCAATTTCCTTACCGTTCTCCATCTTGTACACATCCGGACATGGAAATGATCCGCGCCATTAACAATGATCTGTGTATCAATTAAGGCCGAGAAGAGTTCATTAACGATAAAGTTTCTAGTGTTGCACATAATGAATTCCATTGCTTGTTCTTCGAATTAGTTCGGAACAGGTGACACCCGTGCACGTTCGTCAACACGACAAGAGTTGTCGAAGAGCGAAAAGACAAAGGAAGAGTTGCGTCCTTAAAACGCCCATTGATTTCTCGCGTGTAATTGCGTTTAATGAAACATATTGTTTCATCTCCTCATAGAAGTCA